AAAATACATTTTCAAAATGCATTTCAATTATCCGTATTTTTTAAAAGCATTACAATTATTCAAAAATTAATTTTTAAAAGTAATTTTTTACTTCAGTTTTTTTGTTGTAATCTCTTAATCAGTGTTTGGCATGAGAATATCATATATTCTTTACTGCCATCTCTAAACGAATCTTTAATGATTTCTCCAAGGTATGTGCTATTTAAATATGGTAGCAAAAACCTCTACTCTTTTGGTTGTATTATCAATTTAATAATGTTTGTAATATTTTTTCAATTCTAACAAACGTATTGAAAAAAATCAATAATTGTGAACAAGCATTCATATAAATGGTTACTGCACCATATGCAATGAAGCAATCACGCTTCATCGCACATGAATTGCCTCATTGTATGTGGTGCAACAACCAATCCGAGCATTTATTCACATTTAGCAATTTCTTTCAAATGTACACTTGTCATAATTATAAAAATATTGAAAACATTATTAAATGGATAGTCCCTGGTGGTTAAAAGATTAGAAGTCCTTATTGTTAGATTTGTCAATGTTTCTTACAGTGTTAATTTATTGTGTACCAAAATTCTATTTCAAAAAGTTTTTGAAAGATTTCGTAAATGAACATTTGGAAACCATTAAGAAATTCCAAAAATACACGTTCAAAATTTCTTAAAGGTTTTCAAAAATAAATATTTGAAAGCTTTCAGGAATTCTAGAAATGAATTTTTGATATATTGAAGAAGTTTATGGATATCCATTTTCGAAAATCTTCAACAATTTTCGAACATTCATTTTCAAAAAGCTCAAATTGCACTCCAAAACTTAAGATTCTTAATCTTTTAAAACTAAATACAAAATCAAACAAAAAAATAAAAAAAAAATAAACGATTTACCTCTAATTTTAAGTTATCTAACGTCAAATATAGGTGATTGAGGCTTAATTTGGGCTTTAATCTTTCAAGGGTTTAGGGTTTACGATTGAAGAAGATAAGGGTGTGAGGAGATGGGTTTTAAGGTTTTTTAATAAATTTGTGTTTTGAGATTAGGAAATAAAGACAAGAATTAATGAGTGTTAATAGTAGTGGAGTGTGAAGAGAAGAACTTGGGGTGCAAATAGTACAACTCAATTTATCATTCTTTAATTAATTATTATTGTGGTTTTAAATTGGTCACCTATCTATTAAATTTTTTAATTAAAAACTGGTCAAATTTTTATTAAAGTTTTTTTAATTTAATCACTAAATTTGAGTAAATATCTTTTTGATCATTAAATCATTAATCTTTAATTATGTACTAACATAACAATTCTATGTAAAAATGATAAAATAACCCTCCAATAAGTTTCGATCCATCATCATCTAACAAGAGCATTATTTTACATTGAAAGTCGGACTGAAAACAGAACGACAATTTTTTAAAAAATAAGGTCAAATCGAAAATTGATTTTAAGGTAATTTTTCTCAACTTATCTTAAGATATATATAAAAAATATATTTTATTATTTATTTAATTTTATATTATATATTAATAAAACCATTATTTAATACTTTAAGATATTAATTTAATAAAAATACTATATTTACATATAATTAAGATATAATTTATATTAAAAATAATATTTTTATTAATATTATACTAAATTAAAATAATTAAATTAATTTCATATGAGATACATGCTTTATAGATGCATGTTGGTTTAGAGTTTGATATCAAATTAGTCAAAATTTGGTGAAATATTTTAGAATTCGAATTAGAATCAGAGCAAGCAAAAACCTATTTGAACTAAATCCTTTTCCATCGTTAAATTGCCATGTCAGTTGCAAGATGCCACATAACATTGTTATATCACCCGACATGCACATGATTTTGCTGATGTAATAATACCACATGACACGTAACACCTAACACTTGACATGTTTTGCTATGTTCACATGCCATTAAAGACTAATAGTTAGGTGATAAAAAATATTTATGTAAAATTTAGTGATTAAATTGAAAGTTGCAATAGTTCAATGATCGTTTTAAAAACACGATCATAATTTTTTTTTATTTTTAATAATTTAGTGATCATTTTAAAATAAAATCATAGTTGAGTGATAATGATGCAATTTATCCAAATTTATTTGCCGTAATTGAAAATTTTTATAATGAAGCTTAAATGACTCTTTTACCTTGGTTAGAGAGGGTTTTTTGCGAAATGTCATCCTTTCACGTGCTTGCTTTTGTGACGGTGGTTAACTATTATATTTAAAAAAAAGAAGAAAATAAAAAATAAAAATAAAAATAGAGGAATTAAAGTCAATGTGATTTTTTGGGTTAAAGTATTTTCTCAATACATTAATCAGAATGACATAAAGAAAATAAATAATAAATTTATGTACAAAAATAACTAATTAATTCATTTATAACTATAGATTAAAACTACGTGACAAAGGATGCCGTAAGTCTTTGCTTGTCTTTTTTTTTTTTTATTTTTTTAAAAAATCTTTTAAGAGTTAATATGTTGATACATGACGAGCTCGTACCTTAATTTTTTTTAAAAATTTTCAAAAAATATTTTTATTTATTTAATTATAATTATAATAAAAAATAAAGAATAGGAGGTGAGTAGAGACTAGAGAGTGTTGTTGGCAAGTGGCAACTACAAAGCCTCAAATTTTTTGAAAAAAAAAAAAATCAATCATCTAGATAATAAAAAATTCTCTACAAATATATTCTATTCGTTAAAAAAAAAAGTCAATCCCGAAAATTATAAGATTAATTAACATATTAAATCTCAATCATATATTAAGACATAAAAAAATACAATTAAAATAATAATCAATTAAAAAAAAAACTTATACAAAAATCAATAAAAATCACAAAAATAGCAAAAATTCTTTACAAATTACCAAATCTAGAATTTAAATATTTTAAAAACTAACGTCTCCTAAAAACAAAAAAATAAAATTTAAAAAATCAAGACATTAGAATTGAGATTTTTTTAATAAATTTTAAAAGAAAAAATTAATTACAAGCAATCAACACAAATGATTATATATATATATATATATATATATATAAGCATTTCAAAATTTTTTCTTTACATCCCAAAAATTTAAGAACTGAAAAAGATAAAACTTTTAAAATTAATGTTTGTAAAAAATTGTAAAAATTTTCCAAACAAAGGAGGGGTAGCATTCTAGTAAATATTTAAAAGAATGTTAAAATGCGATATTTTGACTTTTTTGCAATATATAAATCATCATGGATTTGTTACTTTATTAGTTTTATACAAAGCTTAAGGTCAAATTTATCATTATAAATCAGATCTGAAAGATACAATTTTTAAAAATATTTTATTAATGACTTGATACAACTTTTTTATTTTAATTTATTCACTTTTTTCAATTTTTTAGAACTTGGTGGTTTTTCCCCTTATTCGTGGGTAAAAAAAACTTGGTGTTTTTTATTAAAGTTTTTTTAGATAAGTTTAATATTATTTTTAAAATTATCATCGTGATATAATAATTGAGATGATTTTATTACCAAAATGATATTATCACTCAAAATTTAAAATTATTTTACTTGGTTAATAATTATTAATTTATAAAATTAAAGATTACTGTATTTAATATTACTGAAAAATCAACACTATTTTATTTAGAAATACTAAAATAACTATCTTTATTGTAATAGTTATATAAGTTAATAATTTAAATATTGTTTAAATATAATAATTCATAAAACATAGTAATATTTTATTTATTTTATAATAAATATAATTAAATTATTAATTATTAAATTAATAAATATATTTATTTGTTAAGTAATTAATTTTTATAATATAAATTGTGTAAAAAATATTTAAATTAAAAAATAAAAATAATATATTAAAATCATAATCCAAAAATAAAGACATTATATTATATATAAAATATTAGAAAAAGTAAAAAGTACACAAACTATTTTTTAACTTGTTATAACGAATATTAATTTGAAAATATAAAATTTATAATATAAAATAATTATAATTTTAAGAGGAATTAAAATTTAAATTCACATATTAAATAAGTAATATTGATTATTATTAGTTTTATATATTATTTCGTTTTGATGATAAAAATTTTTATTTTTTTGTATGAAAATTAGATTATACTATAATATAATAATCTAATCAATTTTAATGATTCAAAATTACTATCACATAAATTACAAAGTGTTTACTAAACATGGGATTTAATTATTATGCATAAATTATCATAATTTTTAAAATGATCATTTCATATCAAACACTATTTTATTTTTTTTTTTAAATTCCAGACTTTGATAAAGCTTTAAATTTGAAATTTTTTTTTTAAACTGTGAATCATGTCGAATGATATTGAAGAGCACCATATTTATAATGTTAGCATATTAAATACGAGAGAGTCATAAAAAGAAATCAACATCTTTGATTTCATTTCTAAATTATTTTAATTAATTAAGGATAAAAGAGAATAACTCTTTATTATAGATCCCATTCTAGTATTATTACACTCTTTTAACATTTCCCTTTTGGCAAAAAAAAAAAAAAAAAACTCTTTTACCATTTCCCACTAGCATGCATTAAACAAGGCTAAAACATTTTAAAAAATTAATAAATTTTATCACTTTATTTAAATAAATTTTTATATTTTTATTATCTTCAAATAAATTTTTATTTTTGGATTTATATCCAAATAAACTCTTATTTTTTTTAAAAAAATATATTAATATTAAAACTTATTTTTATACAAATTAAAAACTAAATAAAAATCAATAACTTATTTGAATGTAATACAATTATATATTCAAGTAAAATTCCAAAGCTTTTTTTTTTTTTTTATTTTAGCCATTAAACAATTATAGACCGATAAATTCAGGCCAAAAAGCAGGGAGAATAATTATATTTCTTTATTTACTTTATTCCCTTTTAGTTTAACAAATCTTAACAAAGTTTTTACCAAAAAAAAAGAAAAAAAAAAAAAAGAAAACGAGTGACTTTTACAAAATCCTCCACTGGTAGATCTCAAAGTATTCAAGGCACAAAAGGACAGTGCATTTCATGCAATTCCATAATAATTAGATAGAGCTATGGCACCCATCCTCGATAATTAAGAGTTTCAGACTGAAAATTACAAGGAATACCCAGTTGGTAAAGCTATTATAATGTCACAATCCGCTAAAGCAATGCACATGAGAGCAGCAGCCTCAGCTATTGTTATTGTAGAAAATTAAAAGCATAGTCCTATGACCATAGTGTTCAAATATTAGCTCCTTACTAGACATGGTTTCAGAAGATGATTTTCTTCAAAGGGAAAATCCTTTTAGAGGAGCAAATTTGGCAAGTATTTCGGCCTCTCGCCCTTCTGCATTTTCCTTCTTTAGTTCCCATTCTGGCTTTCTGGCATTAGCAAGCTGAACTTCATGTACAACTTTGGGAATGGAGTTTGCCACCAACTTTTGATTATAAGTCAATCCCTCCTTGTCTCTCTTCTTACTGTCTATCAATCTGGTAAGCTGAGCACGACGGGATTTAAGTTGTGCTATCTGATCGTCAATTTCTTGGACAGTCAATGTGTTGGAATCTACCTCTGACTGCAGATGTGTTACTTGTTCTTTTAACTCACTATACTCTTGCCTGAGTGAAGTGACCTTGGCCTTATTGACCTCAAGGGTTGTAAAGAACTTGTGTGCCTGCTCCATCACTCCCCTATTCTCTAGGAAAACCTCACAATATGATGGAATCTCTTCAATCAACTTCAACTTCACAAGTTGTTCGGCAGTAAGAGTAGGATCCTTCCGAAGTTTAGATGCTAGACTTGTGAGTTCATCAAGGTCTTTGAAGCAAATCAATGAAGGGAAATCCATATCAAGAAGCGAAGATAGTTTCTTTCGAGCTTCAGCCATCTCATCTTCATCGGCAAAGGAGTTATGCATCTCAGGATGGGAAAATGGTTCTTCAGACAGAGGCTGAGCAAGCATGTCATCCAAAGAATTGAGGTAGTTGTCAAATTCCGCTGCAAACATTTCAAAACGTGAATTAAAGGAAAAAACAACACCATTTCCAGGAGAAATGCAAAATATGAGAACAGATACTTTATCCCTTCAAAATCAATAGTGATTTTCATATTCTAACCTCTAGTCGTTTCATCATCTAAGAAAGACATATCAAGACTGCCATTTGTATCTTCAATTTCAGGTGGAGGTGGGGCAGAATCTTTAAGACGCTGACGAGTTTGTCGCTTAGGTGGGGCAGATGCTGATCCTTTAGTTGTCTTCTGCTTCTTTTTACTGTCGGTGGAAAGGGGATTACTGGATTGGGGAGTCCTCTTCCTCTGGCTGCTTCTCGGAGTCTTTTTGTTACTTTCTTTTTTAGCATCCTCCATTCCTTCTGCTGGCGCTGGAGGGTGAGAGTGGACATTCATTACATAAAAGAAAAGTATTATAGTTAAGCAATCAACAGAAAACAGAGACGGTGTAACTTAGAACTCAAGGGAAGAGTGAAGATATATAACTAATAGGTGAAAGAAAAAACTAAAATGATATAACCTGGACTACTACATCAACAATTTCCCTATTCCCAGATGAAAACAAGAATGAAGGGGAGGTAGAAAAGGGGAAAGAAAATTAATTTTGAATGTACTTGATTGAAAGAACAATGAGAAAAAAAAAAAAATAGAAAAGATGATAAATTTTCACACTTATTCACAAATACAAATCATTTCAAATTGAAAAGATAATAGGACAGAAAATAGGAGAGGTGTAAGCATTGCACATTTACAGGATTCTCCATCATATTTAGATTTTTCCTTTCATCTTAATTTACAAAAGGTTATAATGATAAAATAATATAATTTTCATTTTTTTTCCTTTTATTTTTCAATTCTACCAAACAATAAATGGAAAGAAAATTACATTTTCTTTCAACTTTTCAATCTTCCCAACCAAGCACACCAATGGAAAGAAAAAATATATTTCCCATCTTTCCATTTCTCACTTCTTACATTTTTCTATCTTTCCACTTTTCAAGTCACCCCACCAAGCAGAGCCTATAAGATGAAATATTTACCACATCTGCATGCCTGGATTAGATTATGTCAACTTTCCCCTCCATTCTTCTGTATACTTGGTTTAACAAACCTTCCCAATCTTATGAAGTGGGAACAGCGGGGGAGGGAGGGAAAGGGAGAGAGAAGAAAATCAATTTTATATAGGGAGTATAGGCTCACTTCCTCAGACACAGAAATGGAAGGAAAAGTTACTAGCCTGAGCAGGCACATATATTGACAGCAAGCATGTAGCTAGACACCAATCTTATAATTCCAGTAGGACCTTTTCAAAGCAATTAAGGTGTTATGGCGGCCCATAGAAAGACCTCCCCCTTTGAACCTCCTAAGATGACTGCCATTACCATAATTTTTGACAAGATATTCAGTTCATACAAACATACATAATAAAGAAAAGAGAAGCCTATAAGGTCAACAGCAGTAGTAACATGAAATGGAATAATTCTTAATTTTATAGATCTGTGTGGCCTGCAATCAACAACCTTTGACAAAAATATCTGACAAGGATGGCTAAATTATAGTATCCATGCCTCCAACTAAAATATTATACAAAATAAATGAACATTGTTTGGCAAGACAATTTCAAAAGCTTTTTTTTGGGACAGAATCATAATCGTATGGCATACAGTTAAACAACATGTAAGCAACAAAAAGGACCTCTCACCTTCAAGTTTGCGCCCAAAAGAGTGAAAATCAGATAGTTTATCACTATTAATGCCAGAGAATAAACCAAATTGAGGAAGAATTGCTTGTGCAATATTAAGTTCTCACTGACAACTATTATAACAAGTAGTTGTGTAATAGAAGTTCCACTTAAAGTGCAGATAAAATCTTGATTTCATTTAGATTTACTACAAGTCACAATTTCTGGATGAAACAAAAAATAGCAATACCAACAATCATCAAAACTATAACTGCTATATCATTTAAAAGTGCAAGCACTAAGAAGTTCCTTTAAGGATATTAATTAGGCATAATTATAACAGGCCAAGAGATCCCAATAGAAACACTTCATACCACCGTCTAATGATATTTACTTACCACTAGTGGTGTTGGCTAGACAAGCTAGAGCATCCACAACTAAGTTACAAGCAGAAGCAAATTATGGAATATAATCCCTAAGTTTGACATTCGGATGTAACTTGGGCTACATTTCTGGGGTTGGGTTGGGTATGGATTTGACCCAAATCACAAGGGGTCAGCATAGGTTGGGTTATGCAGTAGACCACTCCATTTCACCCTAACCCAACCTGATCCAATTAGAATCGAGTGGGTTCATAGGTCAATTTTTTTTTTTTTTTAAATTCACTTTCTTTCTTTCAAAGAAAATTGTTATATATTTCATTTTTCATATAATCTTTGCAGTACAAACATGACAAGCCCAAAGGAACTTACTGAAAAAAGTCTGGAAACTCCAGGGAAATTTGCCAGGATTTTAAGCAGAAAGCCTAGACCAATACTATCTTGTACAAGGATACCTAGACAGACATGTAAAGAGAAAATGCAAATTTAAACATGCTTAGTAAGTTTCTAAAATGTTTAAACATACCTAGGCTCTGTTTGTTTAGCAGAAAATAACTTTCGGAAAATGATTTCTGAAAAACATTTACATTTTTTGAATTGAAAGAGATTTTCTATTATTTGAATGAGTTAATGAAAAATGTTTTCCGGTTGTTTTCTGAAATTTTTTTTTCTAATAATATTAATATAACTATTAAAATATTAAAAATTATTTCTTATTAAAATTATGAATATTAAAATATTACGTTAATATAAAAAATACTTATAATAAAACTATTTATTATTCTTTATATTATTTAATAATATTTATTAATATAATATCATTTATTAATAGATTATATTAATAGTATATTATTTATTAATATATTATAATTTTATTTATTAATATATTATTTATTAATATAATATTATTTATTAGTAAAATTATACTCAAAAATATTGATAAATAGTTCTGCTCATAAACAGTTCTTTTCCGAAAAAATGTCTTTCCCCTTTTCAAATCTGTAAGACAATTTCTAGAAAAAGGGTCTTATTTTCCGTTGACCAGTCAGTTTTTTACCAAACAAACATCTGATAATGAAATCATTTTCCATGAAACAAACCAAGCTTTACCGGAAAATGTCTGGAAACTCCAGAGAAATTTGCCAAGATTTTAAGCAGAAAGCCTAGACCAATACTATCTTGCACAAGGATACCCAGACACACATGTAAAGAGAAAATGCAAATTTAAACATGCTTAATAAGTTCCTAAAATATAATACTGTTTTTTTTTTTTTTAATTACAACAGACATAAGCAAAATGCCTTGTGCAACGTTTTGACTGTGAAAAAGTCTCAAGAAGAGTGTCCTACAGGGTAAAGTAAATATGTCCGTGCATGTATCAATGTCTCTGTGTGTATTTTTCTCTGAAGTCTGGACTGCTTTCCTATTTCTATTATTGGTCCTTTTTTCTTCCATTACTCATGCATTTCAAACTTCTTAAGTTACTAACATGAAATGTGAAGATCTGACTCACTAGGCACCAATTCACCTCAAGCAAACCTTAATGGTTTATCCCATCTACCTGGACTATGCTAATACAATGAGATCACTCCATCTATAATTAGACACCAAAATCTTATATAATCAAGAGTTATTCTAACTTTCTTCAAGTGGAAATTGTTAGAAATTCAATTCCAAGCAAGTTGAAAAGGGGGAGCAAGAAACAGAATATTTTTCAGCCAACCTTTGGTAGGAGATTCCAAACTGGCAGGGATCTTCCAAAAAAATGAAGCAAAGAATGCATTAATATCTGCATCTGGGAAATGTGATCGGAGAAAACGTTCCAGTGTTGGCTTGCTTGCAAACATTTTTGGATTATTTGGCATTCTAAGACTTTTTGGAACATTGAGAAATCTATCGTTGTAGAAGCCAGAATTGTTGACCCTCTTCCCCACTCTCCAGCTCCAAATATCACCAGGATTTGGCCAATCTATAGGAGCATACGGTAACCCTTCCCCAGCGGAACCAGGTGGAACCGGTGGAGGGAAATTATTCTCTTTAATTACAGGAGGAATAACATTACTTCCATTAGGGATGTCATTCTCCAGAAATTCTTCTTTTTGCTCGGATGGAACGGAAGCTGGTCCACCGTAGTAGCTGCACTTGGGATAAAATAGCATTCAAGAAACCATAATCATACACCATAAACTTACAAAGGTACATCTTCCAAATTACTTTAAAATTCATATTACTTCAATTGAACAGATGTCGAAGCTGCTATGCTCACTAATTGAAGACAACACCATAGCAACAAGAAGAACATTGTGCAATAATTGAGGACTTTGGTGTGAGAATGATGGTTTATTCGAGGGATCAGACACTGAAGGTTTCACTGATTGCTAATTACTATAAATGATATTTCCACTTGCAGGTAGTTTACAGAGTTAAAATTAGGGTTAGAGTAATATGAAGCCACTCTGCATCACAGCTTCAATAAACAAAACAACCTGAAGAGGCAACCTGAAGAGGAAGCAAATAATACCATATAAAATGTCCACAGAACCATGCATCATTATTAATTGGTAACACAGACCGAACTAGAGGTTTGCAGGCTTCCTATATGCAAAAGACAAACCACACTCCTAAGAAATAGAAATTTCTTTAATTTATGTAACTAACCTTCTGATCATTACATTCAAAATGTGCATTTTAATACTATTTTAAACATGAACTCATAAAAAAAGGGAATTTATATACAAAAATTTCTGCTTTCTAACACATTTTAGTTTCCATATACTCGAATTCTCAGGATTATCACCTTAACTCATCCCAGTAGCAAATATGTTAGAAAATGAGTAACAGAAACAAAGAAACAACAATTGCATGTAAGAAGAAAGAAGAAATGAGCACAGCAAACTTACTCAGGAAAGAGATCTTGATGGATATCAATCTGAGGAGGACTCTCCAAGTCAGAAGGGCTATCAGGGTGAGGGGAAGTACCCAAATGAGGAGGAGTACCCATATGGGGAGGAGAAGGAATTGACATCATTAGAACAAAAATTCCTAGTTGACCTGCAAAATCAAGGCACCCCACAGATAAAAGATCAAATTTTTCGTCTTTAGACTGTCACTCAAAAGAGATCCTTAACTGTAAGAAATGGTAAGAAACTGAAGACCTAAACTTAAGAAAACTGGATTTACAAGTTGAAAAAAGTTAGATACCTGATCTGGGACTCTTAGAAATGATGTCTGAAACAAAAACTACTTTATTGCGACCCTAGTTTAGGGATGTAAAAAACCCAAAAAGCCAACTGCTTGTCCCTCTCATCTGTACAAGGAGGAAGAATGCACCAAGGGCAGCGAGGAACGTAAAATGACTGTTCTACCCCTTCGAAGTGTACACTACTTGCGTACTTCCCATTTGTGTCTGAATGATGTTGTGTGATGGCTCCTTTAACCGAAAGCATAAAAGCGAAGTGTATTTTGTTTCATATGGGCCTGTTTTTTTGCTCACCAGCTTATGCTGATGTTAAATTTTACTTATTTTTATTTACTTTATTTTGTTTATAAAAAAAATAGAAGATTGATTAAAATTTTGACAATTTTAATAATTTGAAAACTAATATTCACACCTTAATAATTTACTTCATTTATATAATAATTTATAAGTTACTTTCATTTTCGGATTCAAATTTGTTTCGAATGCTTGTCTTTTCACTTGAATATTTTTTTTTAATTAGTACCTCACATGAAAAAAATAGAGAACAGGTAGAATATGGCAAGTGTAATACTAAATCCAATTTAATTGGTAGAACGGGAAATTTGGAAATCTTGGTAATATCTGCTAAGAGTGTATTTAAACAAAAAGTCTTGAAATGAACATCAGTCTAATAATTTAGCATTTATAATTGCATTCATTGGATAAATTTTTTTTAAAAAGAAATTTTAACTATTAGAATTTGATGACATAAAGGAATAATTATAAAAAAATAATGATATTGTAGTTTAGAAAAAGAAAATTATAAAAAAATTGTAATATAAGCATCATTAGATTTGTAAAAAATCATAGATAATGATTAATTTTTTTCAAGAATAATTACACATCATAATATGAATATAAGTGATATATGTTAATATAGAGTAACCATTTCGAATAATCCTTTATCCTTGATTAAAATACATTTTCTTCTTAACATCCTCTATCAAAAGCTAAAATTAAACCATTATAATGTGTTTGGTATATAAAATTATGATAAGATGATATTAAGAATATGATTGTATTAAATAATACGATTCTATCTTATATTTGATGTATAAAGATTAAGATAAAATAATGTATTTTTTGATTAAAATTAACCTTCCTTAAAATTTATATAATTTAAATTAATGATGTAATTTTTAAAGGTATAGTAGGATATATAAATTAAATTTCACGAACTAAAAATAATCATCTCTACTTTAGGAGGGATGAATTATGTTATACCAAGAGGATGATAATCCTTCTTGCGATCTTATCCCTTTCAATTAGATACAAACTAAATATATTATAGGATGATTAGCATCCTATCCTATTCATCATTCCATGTACCAAACACGACCATAGTACCTAATAGACTTACAAGAAAATGAATTGCTTAAACACAAAAAAGATTGTGCTTTGTGCTATGACATTTAGATTTTGATTATTCTCTTATCGTTGTGAGAGAATAAGAAAAAGATGCAAGAGCATATTTTCTACAATGATTATAGTATAATTAAACAATTACAATTTAAAATTATGTGAGGTTTATCAACATTTTATATAGAGCCTACATTTATAAATGGTTGACCTCTATATAATCTTTTATTTTGATTGAATAATTATAATATTGTAGGTGATATGCCTCAAAAGATGTAGTAAGTTTTTAATTTTGTACTATGATGTTACAGAAACAAATAAACCTCTATATAATCTTTTATTTTGATTAAATAATTATAATATTGTAGGTGATATGCTTTCAAAAAATGTAGTAAGTTTTTGAGAATTTTGTACTATGATGTTATAGAAACAGATAAACCAAAATCTAATTGTTCATTTAAAGCATTTATATATATTAACCAGCTTGTAACTCATGCAATGCACGATTTAATTTATATATTTAAATATGAGTATATACAGAAAAAATTAATATTATTTACAAAGTTAAATCAAAGTCTCCGATATTTCTAACATATAAAATTTATATATATAATTGACATCTTTTAAAAAATAAAATTTTTAAAATAAAATTAGATGTATTTTGTTATGAAAATAATCAATGATAGCAATTTTTTCTTTTTAATGATTCTAAAAAAATATAGACATCCCATCACTATTAAGAACTAACTCCAAATCATAAAAAAAAAAAAAGAAAAAGGAGATATGTATCAAAATTGTTAGCCTTCAATTAACACTTATTTTGAAATGACAAAACACTAAAGCTAAAACTTGAAATAAATTGCTTTAAACTCAAAAAGTAAAATTTGTTGGTAGTTTCCTTAATGAAAAATGACTTAGAAACCAAAACAAAATTTTTCTCCATTAAAGACATGTTTTATACAAAATTAGGAAAGAATGATCGATCCCCCTGTGACATGGTCAATCTTTTTTAGAAAAAACTGAGAATTTTGCTTAAAACCTAAAAGCAATCAATTCATTTTTGAATGGATTAATTTGTTTTTTTTTTTTATATATATAGATATGTCTCGAACTTGAAAATTATAAAATGGATTGAATGATTTTTTATACAAAATAAGTCTTGAATTTAAAACTGGTAAAATGAATTGATCCTTTCAAATATGAATCAATTGATTTTTCTTGCAAAAACTTCATTAATTCAAAATTGACCAAAATGGATTGATCCCCTTCTAAAATTGATTGATCGGTTATTCTTTTGCAAAAACACATTTTGGCTTGAATGGCCAAAACCAATTTTATCCCTTCAAAAAATGGATTGATTAGTTAGGCCCTAACAACTTCAAACGATTATATTTTCTTTTTTTTTCTAAAGCATTTAAGGCATTAAATGAAGGCAACAACTCTTTTCTCCTTTTTTTCATATATAAAAAGGTTTCTTACCATATTGATAAGCCATTAATAGCAAAGAGAATTTATTGCTATCTATTTTTCATAATCTTCAAGCATTAAATAGCAAATTGAAGTGCAAAAAAGCATAAGTTCCCATCTTGTATTCAAGTATTCTTGGTATTATTCATATACTTTATCTGTACTTCAAATTAGCAAACACCCAACCTTAAAGAGGTTTCTAAGTTTGCAAAAACATTTGTGTTTAGCCTTGAGATTGTAAGCTTGAGGGGGAGTATAACCCTTTAAGTGATTCCTTGAGAAACTTAGAAAACCCATTGAGAGGTTTATTGGTTGATTGCATCAATTGCTTTGGAAGGGGTAGTTGTAACATTCAACATTTATAGAAAATTAAAATCCTTGGCAAGTGAGGCTAAGGGAGAGGATGTAGGTACCTTGTGGAAGGACCGAACCTTTATAATTTTTTATATTTGATTTTCCATCTCTACTACTTTACTCGTCATGTTATTTTACTATGCATAAATAGTATCTTTATTTGCGTAGAAATTTATATTTGTGATTATTGTTTAATTTGGTATTCAAATTGTAAAAATTTTTAATTAACAAATTCGTCTCTTTCTTGGTTTAGTCAATACTTTGAGCTAAAATAGGTATCAGAGCTAGTACTCTATTTTGTAGGTCTAGCAACCTAAGAGTGATCCAAATGGCTCAAAGTAATGTTGTGATAAGAGAAAAGAAACCATCAACAAGATTTAATTAGAATGAAAATCAACAAGAAGTATGTTTCATGGCAATTGAAGTGGTTACCGCATCTCTTGGTAATAAAGGTCATTCTATTGTGAGACCTCTTTGTTTTTTGTTGGTTATAACTATTCATATTGAAAAACTAGGATGAGACTATTCATTCAAGCCAATGACTATGAAGTATAAAGTGTAATTGTAAAAGATCCTCTCAACCTAAAAAAAATGTGGAAGATAAAGAAGTCATCAATAAAAAAAATGAATGGGATACAAATGATTTTAAGATGACTCAACTCAATGCTAAAGTGCAAAGTAGGAAAAGAGTGGACTAATTGCCTAGCTAGGAAATGAGAGTTTTCAAGTGCTATCACTTAAACTTAACTCTGTTGCTAGATCTAACCAAAACTTTTTAGAATTTTGTAGAAATTTGTAAAATGAATTTAATTGTGATCTTTTACAAATTTAAAGAAATATGATTCAAGAATGCATAAAAAAAAATTGGATTGAAACTTGCAAGAATTGAATGAGATTCAATAGAAAAACCGCAACTACATCAATAGCAAAATTAGCCAAATAGATTTGAGATTCATTAAAAATTGCATAAAATTGAACTAGAAATCTTAAAGAACTTGAACTTTCATTGAAAGATTCTTAAAATGTATCTTAAATGAAGGCAAAAAAGTAAATTTTGCTGAAAAATTAAAGCATTTTTCTCCCAAATAGCCTTTTAAAAGAATAAGGAGTAAACAGCTTGGAGAGAAAAGAAAGTAAAACATAAGAAAGTAAAAAATGAAAAATCTAGAAGAGTCTTTCCAAATGGCCAGCCAACCTTTCTATTTATAGGCCAAGGATGAGGTGGTTTAGCCAATAAAATTGTAGGATATGCTAGCTAAGCTTCCACATATTCAAAAGTCTTCTAATTTATCCATCTAGCTCTCTTAGCTTCTTTGTTTACTTCTTTTTATTTCACTTCACTTCATGCTTCCTTCCTTTGATCTTGTAAGCTTCAAAAAGTAAGAACTATATCCAATTAGAAGCCTCAAAATTGCCAACTAAGTAGTTGCCCAGTTGCTTCTTTTTTTGTATCTAAGAATTGGCCCCAATCATCCTTGATCATCACTAATGCATCATATGATTAGGATTGGTTCCTTTGCTTTCATTTTAGGCACCAAATGTAACTAAATTCCTTTTTCAAATTTCAGCCAAATGAGGGTCATTTAGTTACCAATTTATCCATGAAAAATTTTGAAAAGTTCTAACTCTAAATGTCACTTCAAAATTGCACCAATGTAATAGTCACCAGACTAGCACATGCAAAAATACTACAAAAGTGACAAAGCACTAGTAAACTAAAAATGATATTTTCTCATGAAAAATATGAAGATTAAAGCTTGAATTAAAGTTCAATTAAGCTCAAGTAATCTAAGAAAATCATAACAAAAAAAACTAGGAAAAATCTCCCATGTAAGGCATTTGAACACATACACACTAGTTTTGGCCAGTAATAGCTTTTTGCACCAAAATGCATCCAAAATGAGTTTGAAAGCTCCAATTTTTTTCATTTTCTATATTTTTACCTACACATTGAATATTTATACAATTAAGACTATTTTGCCAAAATTTTCAAGAATCAAGCAAATCTTC